TTGTCCTGTGCCCTGCCTGCATTTTTACTGTTCTTTCTGCCTGGAAACTGAGAGGTGTCCATGGCATCCAAAAAGCGTCCCTTTAGGTCAAAAGAGGTTTTAGACCAGCTAGAGAACAGCGATAGTAAATTAGAACTAGAATTGAGTGATAATGCTTCGTGGGGAAATTCATCATCATACACTGAAAATGATTTGGCGACTTTGCTCAGTAATGTGCGAACTTAGCGCTATATTTCAAATTTCAGTGTTTTTGGTTTGATTATATTATTGAATTAAATTTATTATTATATTATTATTTTTTATGAGTATTTATTAAATTATAATTTATGATTTAGTGTTTCAAATTTTAACATACCCGGGATGTTTACTAGACTCTTGTTCGGACAGATTTCAGTGAGTTATTCCTAAAAATTACAGCCCTACAATAAAAAAAATACATATTTCCATGCAAAAAAATGTACCGCTTTGAGCACAGAAATATGAACATAATCAGACCACTAGGGAGGTTAATAATAAAAATGAATGGGCTGATATCATTGGCATAGATTTACCAAAGCAAATGAACAAGACCAGGGATCAATTATTATGTTGTGCAAGTATTACAGGCCCTCAAGCTTGCACAAGTGTCCATGCCCATAGTGATTGCATTCCCTTAACCTCGCTAATTATATATTGAAGTTCTGTGGGTACAGTGTGGTCCTTGTTTGCCATATCTAAAGAAGAAGAGATTTTCTTTGATCTAAGTACCATAATAAATAATTCAAATGTTGATTAGGACAAAATAATGTTGCTAAACTTTTTTATTTTAATATGGAATGTAGCAATATAATACAGATATAGCTTAGATATACTTTGCAGAAACTTATTTGTAGCCCATAGCAGAAGTGTAAAAATTGCTTTGGTCCATAATGATGCAAGAGCCATAGTGGGTAATGTTTTTCCACCCCTTGTATTCAGTGCTGTTTGACCAAAAAGTATCCTTATAATTATTTTTTAAATTCTGAAAAAAAATTAAATTCAGAGCTGATTTGTAATGATTGCAGGCAGTGACCTAGTCAATTGAATAGACAACCTGGGCATGGAAGAAGAGAGAAGACTTGGGAATCAAATGTCACATGACTGTGGTTTTAGGTGAGTAAAAGGGGCTTTTAGTTAGGGTTTTTTATGCCAGTGATTAAATAGGGGGAGTTGTGTGTATGGGGGGAGCCCAGAGTTCAGATATTATATTTGTGCACTCCTTGTATTTAGAGTAATTTGACCAAAATTCAAATAATTAATTTCAAATTGTTAGGAAAAAATAAGAATCAGAGCATATTGGTGAAACGTGTTTATTTTCTCTCTTTTAGAAGAAGACAATTGATTTGATTGGCCTTTATGTAAATTTTATTGCCTGTATTACCCTATTTTTAGAGATGCCATTGACGTTTACAAAACATGTAATTGTTTTGAAATAATTATCTCTGAGTAATAGTTTGCTAGTTTATTTGGCTTGGCTTAAAAATGCAGTTATACTTTATTTTACCAAGTTCACAATTCTTGGCCAAATATCTACTAAATTATTTAAAACAAAATTTTCAGTTAATATATACAACCTTATTAATTTGAAAACTAAGCACTCTTTGTAAACAATCTGATTTTTATACCTCAATATTTTTCACACCGCTTTGCACAACATTTGAAGCATCCACTAAATGAAATCAAACTCTGAAATGTGGTATTTGTGAAGCAATAGTTCCATAAATTAGCCTAAATTAAGTACTATATTTAAACTGAGACTGTGAGCCATGTCAAAAAATCTCATGATTGATTATTCTGCTGGTTCTGTGCATATATAGAGATATTTTTAGAATTTTCACTCCATATGAATTTATGTAGACTCATTTTGCTTCAAAACCGATTTAAAATGTTTTCGGAAAAATATAAAGAATTTTAATTATATATATATTTCTAGCTAACTCTAGTCTTGCTGGGTCTTTGGTAAAGTTGGGGTTTCTGTAACTCCAAAAGTATGCTTATTAAACAGTTGACAAAATATACAGTTTAAATACCCATACTAAATAGCCCCCCTTTGTATATTGAGGGAAAATTATTATATATATCGATAACTAGTTACCCTATAGCAGACAATGAAAGAAAAAAGAAACACCTTGGAGCATTTTATATTTAGTTTTGGCATATGTTGCTTTTTTTCTGTGTGTAGTATGTGACATTATTAGAATTCACCATCCTCCCTTTTAAATGAAATTACTTTGCAGAGTTGTAGTGGGAGTCTGCATGCTAACTGCATCATCCAGCTACATAAACTCTGGACTTGTGTAAAGCAATTGGACACACTGTCAAGAAGTCTTTCACATGTATGCAATCTAGTACATAGACTTTTTGACTGCTCATGGAATCCTGTGATTTTTTTTCCTTGCAGGTGATGGGTATTATTTACAATTTTCACCTGAATTTTCACCACATTCACTAAGCTAATGAAAAATTCCATTATGAAGTGAAAATTCCCTTGCAAAGTGAACAGCTAATTTGGCTTTAGTAAATCAACCCCATATTCCTTTTTAGAGATGTGACAAATGTATCTGAATTCAGTTTGTGGGAGGTTCATCTTGCTTGAGGTGATTGTAGCCGTATTAGTGCATTTGCGACAGAAACAATTGAGTACTGTCCGTGATACTTTTTTTATTTGCACTAACATACAATTTTGAGGACAAGCTTTCGGGGTATGTCCCCTTCTTCAAGGTCTAAGCAGTACTATTAAAAATCACAAAGTTTAAGCAGAATGTTAGAATGGATTGAGAGAAAAAAAAAAAAAAAGGGCAACAGATAAGATACATCAAAAGTGAGGGGGGGAGGGGGGATACAACACTCACACAGAGGGGGTCAAGTTTTAGCTAATAGATAGTCATAAAGCTGTCGGATAGTGGTTGAGGAATCCCATGTCCAAATTAAGACCGTTATCTTTAGTGTCAAATAGAATTATCATTCTTAGTTCAAATGTTTTTCTTTCCTGGATGGATTTAAATTTTCCTTTCAGAACTAAAATATTGAGGTCTTCCATATTGTGGCCTGGTTGTGAGAAATGGTGTCCTACAGGTGTGCAGAGGTCATCTTCTTTATGTTCCTTGATGGTATGTCTGTGTAAATTCATCCGTGTTTGCAACCTCTGTCCTGTTTCACCAACATAAGATCCTTTGCTGCATTTTCTGCACTGGATAAGGTATACAACATTACTGGAGGTGCAGCTGTATGATCCGGAGATATTGAAGATCCCTTTTGAGTGTCTGACACTTTTTGATGGATTGATTTGGTTGCACAGCTTGCAGCGTTTCTTATTGCAGGGTTTGCTTCCATTATTTGTGGCATCATAATCAGAAGGAAGTTTCCTACTGATTAGTTTATTTCTGAGGTTGGGGGGTTGTCTGAAAGCCAGTATTGGGGGTTGCTGGAATATTTCTTTCAGAGTTCCATCCTCTGTTATGATGGGTTGTAAATCTTTGATTATTTTTCTTATCACTAGAAGGGATAAGAAAAATAATCAAAGATTTACAACCCATCATAACAGAGGATGGAACTCTGAAAGAAATATTCCAGCAACCCCCAATACTGGCTTTCAGACAACCCCCCAACCTCAGAAATAAACTAATCAGTAGGAAACTTCCTTCTGATTATGATGCCACAAATAATGGAAGCAAACCCTGCAATAAGAAACGCTGCAAGCTGTGCAACCAAATCAATCCATCAAAAAGTGTCAGACACTCAAAAGGGATCTTCAATATCTCCGGATCATACAGCTGCACCTCCAGTAATGTTGTATACCTTATCCAGTGCAGAAAATGCAGCAAAGGATCTTATGTTGGTGAAAAAGGACAGAGGTTGCAAACACGGATGAATTTACACAGACATACCATCAAGGAACATAAAGAAGATGACCTCTGCACACCTGGTAGGACACCATTTCTCACAACCAGGCCACAATATGGAAGACCTCAATTTTTTAGTTCTGAAAGGAAAATTTAAATCCATCCAGCAAAGAAAAACATTTGAACTAAGAATGATAATTCTATTTGACACTAAAGATAACGGTCTTAATTTGGACATGGGATTCCTCAACCACTATCCGACAGCTTTATGACTATCTATTAGCTAAAACTTGACCCCCTCTGTGTGAGTGTTGTATCCCCCCTCCCCCCTCACTTTTGATGTATCTTATCTGTAGCCCTTTTTTTTTTTTTTTCTCTCAATCCATTCTAACATTCTGCTTAAACTTTGTGATTTTTAATAGTACTGCTTAGACCTTGAAGAAGAGGACATACCCCGAAAGCTTGTCCTCAAAATTGTATGTTAGTGCAAATAAAAAAAGTATCACGGACAGTACTCAATTGTTTCTGGGAGGTTCATCAAATGGCTCAAAAGTATTAATGTTATTCAGAACCCCTAAGAAGTCAACGTGGACCAATTTTTTTATATCAATTTTGGCCCTTTTCAAAGAGATTGCTTTGCAAGGAGCAGCACTAAGGCTTAAAGTGGAACATTAAAAAAGCACAATTTCTTCAACAAAGCAATGACAGTTTTGCTTCAGAAAATTATATTTCCCAGCCACTTTTTTTTTTATAGCATGAGAACCCCAAGAGTCTGGTGTATGAATTGGGGACATTTAGGGGTCTCTATGCTGTTTTTTACAAAAAAAAAAAGCTGCAGGAAAAAGTAATTTAATTCATCAAATGTAATTTGTTTTCTTTTTCTGAAATGTCACTTGTGCTACAGTACATCCAACATTAAACATGTAAAAAAAAAAATCAAAATTGCATAGGATTGCCTTTAAACATGCATGCCAAACCTTTATATTTAATGAGTGTTTAGTATAGATTTAAAGGGGAGCCCCAGGCAAAAAAATGAAAACAAAATGGGCCAGGTTCCCCTTAAACGCCATACCACACCCCCATGTAGCTGCTCAGCCATGGAAACCCATTCCATGATGCTCTCTATGCACTGTTTTTGTGCTAATTTGAAGGTCACATGAAGTTTGGAGGTCTGTAGCTATTGACTCTTCAAACAGCACTGTGCTCTTCAGCATTTGCTGACCCCACTCTGTCATTTTATGTTGGCCTACCACTTAGCTGAGTTGCTGTTGTTCCCAGTTGCTTCCATTTTGTTATAATACCACTAACAGTTGACTGTGGAATATTTAGTATCCAGGAAATTTCACAGATGGACTTATTGCACAGGTGGCAACCCATCACAGTACCATGCTTAAATTCACTGAGCTCCTGAGAGTGACCCATTATTTCACAAATGTTTGTAGAAGAGGTCTGCATGCCTAGGTGCTTGATTTTTTACACCTGTGGCCTTAGAGGTGATTGGAACTGTGACGATTAAAGGCATGGACACTGTACATGACGGCCATCTTGTTAAGGGCACAGCCATGTTGTCTCTCTCCTGTCCTCCCTCCTCCCTTTTCAATGGAATGTGAGTCTGTAAGTGAATGGAGATCAAAAGGGCCTCTTATCCTAAATAAAACACAGCTAGCTGAGCTTCAGTTCTGTAAACCGCTAATTAGTCTGGTTCCAGGGGGTCTGCTTGAAAACCACTTTCCTCTGCCTGATCATAAAACAATAGCTCAGTCAGTCATGACCTGTTAGGCCATTAGAGCTAGAGATTGCCATAAAACATACATTCCACATGAGTCATTTTTCATGCAAATTCATAAACTTCAGCAGGAACTAGGCACATTAATATGAAGTATATATTCATAAAGATATTTTTAATATGAGTCACATGAGACCTTACATCACTGTATTAGCCCCTACAAGAGAGAAGTCTCTTTTATCTGGAGTGGCAAGGATATTCTATGTTTGATATCTTTGCTTTTGGAATATAATTCTAAACATTAATCTGCCAGTTGCTAGGATGCTACCTGTACCTATTGAAGGTTATTGACCTTAGTATGAAATTGTGAGGGATTTGGTCATAACCTTGGTTACCGCCTAACACCCATCCCCAAACTGGATGATTGGTCATTTGTTCTCAGAAGACACCCCTTTGAGATGATAGAAAAAGACTGACAGCCTGGAGAAAAATAAGCTCTCCTTTAACATTGATCAGGAACCATCTAAGAGACTTGAGAGCCAAAGCAGCCTTTTGTTCAGACAATTGGACTCTGCTCAAACCAAGAACTTTTGCAAGTATTCTGCCTTCTGAACTTCTTTCTTTTATTTATCTGTTGTTTTAATGCATTCTTTTATATCTTTGTTACATCTTTAATTGTACCATTTTGACCTTTTTAGTAATAAATCCTATTTTATGAAAGGTGTTGAACTATCTCTAAAGCTTTTAATGCAAACTAAAGAATCCCTGTCTCTGAAGAGAGCTACTGTATGTAATAATCCTCTGAATACATCTGTCTGTGGTGACAGTTTGTATTACAGACGCTTATACTAATATCATAGTGTTACTGCTAAGATTTGTGAGTTTCCTCCTTCTCAGTAAAAAGGTGGTGGTGGCAGTGTGAAGGGTTAATTGCGTAATTAACCTAACCCAGTAACAATTACTCTCAGGCTGCTGCACATAGATTGTGGTCCCACGAGCTGGAAAATCTTTGTGCAGGGCACAGCTGAGAGTGGCATGGTTACGCAAGTGACAGCGCGATGTGAGATCGGCTGGTCCTACAGTCACAGCGTGGCTAGGGTCCGACGGACGCCGCACACCATCACAGGAACACCTGAATCCAATGATTTGGCGGGGTGTCCCAATATTTTTGGCAATTTAGTGTATGATCTGAAAAAACATTAACTAAGCCACATATTACCAGGATCCACAACAGCCAGCTTTTCATAAATAATTTGTTAATTCGTGCATTTTCTTTTACTGCCAGTATGTGTGCAATCTTTAAATGCTTTTACTAATCTATAACTCCATTCCACCCCAAAACCTTAAATAAAAAAATAAATAAATAAATAAATAACACGAATGAAAAAAAAACACCTCCTCCACAAAAAAGCAAGGGGGAGGATACAGCAGCCAAGAAACAACTATACAGCAGCCAAGAAACAACTGGAATTGCTTGCTTGCACATGGAAGGGTATATCTGCCAAATACTCTGGGATGTCTCCAAGGTCTACTATAGCAGACTGCAAACCACATTCAGGGGTGGTGCCAGTTGGATGCTTGGGGGTACTTAAGCATCCCTAAAAAAAAAAATGTTACGCACCCTTATAGCAACCCCAAAATTTAAATGCCACTACTTGCATATGTCTCAATTGTTTGATTTTTATTTTATTGTATCTGCACATCCTCTATTGATGTCAGAAGGCTGGGGACTCTTTTTTTTCCTGTGGAGGGATACAGCTGCTCCGGTCGCGTAAGCTGATAATCTTTAGTTAGTTTAGTTCTCTGCTGCCTCCTCAGCCAATGAGAAATCACTGTACCTGCCCCCTTCCCCAGCCCTTGTGATTTTACTCCTAAACTAAGCTGTAACAGGAGGAGGTGTCGGCAGCTAGATCTGAGGAAGAGAGGAGAGGAGTGCAGAGAACACAGCCGGAAATGTTGGATGGACTACACTTGGTCTGAAGGAAAAGAAACAACTTCTGCTAGCATGGAGAGAACAGGTTTGTTTCTACAGTGTGGGATACAGAAAGTTAGAAGAGCAGCTCCAGAGAACAGGATGTGTTCCCTCCCTCCAACCCATCTTTCCCTCCATTAATCCATCCTTCCCACCATTCCTCCCACCATCCCTCATCCATTCAACCATCCACCCAACCATCTGTCCCTCCCTCCATTCATCCCTCCCACCCACCCTCCCTCTTGCCTCCCTCCATCCATCTCTCCCTCCCTCCATCTACCCCTCCCATCCCTCCATCCATCCATCTCTCTCCCTCCCTCCATCAGTCCATCCATCCATCTGCCTGTCCATCCACCTGCCCATCCATCTGTCTGTCCCTCCATCCCTCCATCCTTCCATCCAACCATCTATCCATCACTCCTCCTTTCATCCATTCAAAAACTGTATCTTCCTCCCTCCATCTGCCCCTCCTCCCCTCCCTCCCTCCCTCCCTCCATCTCTCCATCCAACTATCCCTGCAAACATCCCTCCATCCATCCTTCCAAACAACCCCTCTATCGATCCATTCACCCCCTCCCTCCATTCAACCAACCATCCATCCAACCAACCATCCCTCCCTCCAACCATCCCTTCATCTCTCCTTCTAACCATCCCTTCATCTCTTTCCCATCCCATCCCTCCCTTCATCCAGCCATCCATCCATTCATCACTCCATCCAACCATCCATTCATCACTCCATCCATACCTTCATCCATCCCTCCCTCCCTCTCTCCCTCCATCCATTCATCCTTTCCTCTACTTGCATTATTTTTAACATGCACATTGCTGATGTTTCCCACACTCTAGAAAGAAACCAGTGGCCAGGGATTCCACACACCAACTGCCTGAGCCCATTCAGTGTAATTGCAGCCCAGGAGCAGTGTACAGACTGTCATTGACATGAATGGTTGCATGCTCCTGTGTTTCTCCATACAGTTGTGTGATCATAAACATGAGTACAGCAGTGTACAACTATTCATGTCAGAGAAGGGCTGTACACTGCACCTGAGCTGCCTGGACAGAGGAAATTCAACTGCAACTACACTGAATGGGCTCAGCCCTGAATCTCAATAAAAGTATTGTGAACTTTTCCTCTGTGCTGTTTTTCCCTCCTCATGTTAGTGTAAATTATAGCCCACATTGAGTATAGTGGTCAGTATCACCACAAAATGCAATCTGTTCAAGAGAATCAGCTAATTCACACTTCAGTACTCTATGTAGTGCATGCCTGAAGGCTACACTTTGTACATAGTGCACTCCTGATCTCTGCACCCTGTACGTAGCATACTCCTGAATGCTGCACTCTGTACATAGTGCGCTACTGATCTCTGAACCCTGTACGTAACATACTCCTGAATGCTGCACTCTGTACATAGTGCGCTACAGATCTCTGCACCCTGCACGTAGCATACTCCTGAATGCTGCACTCTGTACATAGTGCGCTCCCGATCTCTGCACCCTGCACGTAACATACTCCTGAAAACTTGAACGCTGCACTCTGTACATAGTGCGCTCCCGATCTCTGCACCCTGTACGTAACATACTCCTGAACGCTGCACTCTGTACATAGTGCGCTCCCGATCTCTGCACTCTGCACCCTGTACGTAACATACTCCTGAACGCTGCACTCTGTACATAGTGCGCTCCGGATCTCTGCACCCTGTATGTAACATACTCCTGAACGCTGCACTCTGTACATAGTGCGCTCCCGATCTCTGCACCCTGTACGTAACATACTCCTGAACGCTGCACTCTGTACATAGTGCGCTCCAGATCTCTGCACCCTGTACGTGGCATACTCCTGAACGCTGCACTCTGTACATAGTGCGCTCCCGATCTCTGCACCCTGTACGTAACATACTCCTGAACGCTGCACTCTGTACATAGTGCGCTCCAGATCTCTGCACCCTGTACGTGGCATACTCCTGAACGCTGCACTCTGTACATAGTGCGCTCCCGATCTCTGCACCCTGTACGTAGCATACTCCTGAACGATGCACTCTGTACATAGTGCGCTCCCGATCTCTGCACCCTGTACGTAGCATACTCCTGAACGCTGCACTCTGTACATAGTGCGCTACAGATCTCTGCACCCTGTAGCATACTCCTGAACGCTTCACTCTGTACATAGTGCGCTCCCGATCTCTGCACCCTGTACGTAGGATACTCCTGAACGCTGCACTCTGTACATAGTGCGCTCCCGATCTCTGCACCCTGTACGTAGCATACTCCTGAACGCTGCACTCTGTACATAGTGCGCTACAGATCTCTGCACCCTGTACGTAGCATACTCCTGAATGCTGCACTCTGTACATAGTGCGCTCCCGATCTCTGCACCCTGTACGTAGCATACTCCTGAACCCTGCACTCTGTACATAGTGCGCTCCCGATCTCTGCACCCTGTACGTAGCATACTCCTGAACGCTGCACTCTGTACATAGTGCGCTACAGATCTCTGCACCCTGTACGTAGCATACTCCTGAATGCTGCACTCTGTACATAGTGCACTCCTGAACCCTGCACTGTGTATGTAGCACACTCTTGATCTCTGCACTGTGTACATAATGCACTGCTGATCTCTGCACTGTGTATGTAGCGCACTATTGAACCCTGCACTCTGTATGTAGCGCACCCCTGAACTCTAGACCCTTTAATGTTGCACACTCCTGAACTCTGCACTCTGTACTTAGCACACTTCTGAAACATGCACTGTGCATGTAGCACGCTCCTTAACCCTGCACACTGTAAGCAGCACACTACACACTCCTCAACCCATCACTCTATGCATAGCACACTCCTGAACCCTGCACTCTGTGTGCAATGCTCTACCTGTTTTTAGTAATGCCCCTTTAAGACCCATCCACTGTTAGTACAGTTTAGCTACCAACCATTTGATGCGGCATACTCTGTATTGAGGTAGAAGTGTGATTGGATCCTGCATCTATTCTTTGAGAAAAAAGCCCTGACCATCAGTATACAGATGCACACTGACCACCAGTATACAGTGTCACATTGACCACCAGTATGCAGGGGCACTGGATACCAGTATTCAGAGGACATACCAAATCAAATAAAAAAAACACCGCACAACCAAAAAAATCTCAATAACCACAGAATCTTTTTAGATAATTGCTGATAGCATTGATATACATTCCCACATCCATCGTGACTCAATAAAAAGCAATGCAATGGTAATGGTAATGGTACATTGTGCAAATAGTGGTGAACCCCCTGACATGCTATACCCCAAATAGTGTTGACCTCCTCACTCTGTATGCTATGTTGTATGTTGCACAATGAAGGGGACACATTGATTGCTATACTGATGGGTGTTTATTATTGTGAAATGTTGGGGGTTAATTATTGTGTTGTGCTGGAGGTTATTATTGTGTTGTGCTGGGAATTTAAAACTGTGTTGTGCTGGAGGTTTATTAATGTTTTGTGCTAGGTGTTCATTACTGTGCTGTACTGGGGGTTAATTGTTTTGAAGTGCTGCAGGTTTATTATCATGCACTGTTGTGGGTTAATTATGCACAACATTTGAGGTAAATTTTTGTGCAAAGTTGGAGGTTAATAATTGTGCAATGTTGTGGGCTAATTGTTGTGTAATTTTGGGGTTTAATTGTTGTGCAATGTTGTGGGTTAAATGTTGTTAAGTGTTGGGGGTTAACTGCTGTGCAATGCTGGGGGTTAAACATTGTGCAGTGCTGGGGTGATTACTGTGCCATGCGCAGGGGTGTTTTTTTTTGCTGCCCTAGGTAACACAAAAACCAGATGCCCCTCCCTTGTCAAGGAGAGCGTGACATTAACCAACACCAGACCCCCCCCCCCCCGGAGAGAACCTGACAGTGACCAACAACACCCCTGCCCCCCATACATACCAAAAGTGAGTGCCTTTCTCACTACAAGGTTAGGCAAACACAGCTTGAATTAATTCCAAAGAATGCCCAAACAGGTGCAGTCAATTTTAAGGCTTCACCTCCACTGCTGTCATCTCCAGTTAGGGGTTAAATTTCAAATCCAGCATACAAATAACAGAAAAAAAAACTGGTTCCCATAGTGTAATATCTTAAACATCTAGATTAATTTGACATAAGTAATCAAGGAACTAAAAAGCTGCTTAAGCATAAGCTTAAAATCAAGCATATAGATGTG